GTTTTTGTTATTGTGAACTCCTGATGGTAACTAAAAAAATAAGGTACTGAATCGTCTGTTGCATGGCAATGGACATTAAAATAAATTATTAATATTAAACTAAAATTAATAAGATTTTATTTTTAAATTAACGACATAGATATTTGAAAGTGTTTCTAATTGATTGTTTTTTATTAATGCATTTAGCTATTATGTTGATTGTTTTAGTACGCCATCTGTTAATATAAATTTCATTCATCACAATTTAATCAAGCTAAAATATGTGTTCCGAGAACGACGACAGTATAAAAAGAAATACTCCAAAGTATCGCTTATAACCAGCTATCGTTTTCTTTTCTTTTCGTGATCAAATACAAATATTTATAGCTCAAATAACGAATAATACATGCAATTAATATATCAACAATGAGATTTGAAATATATCTTTTATTTTAAATTATTTATTTTCAAATATAAAAATCTAAAGAATTTATTAACGATAAAATAATAAAACACGTATTTTGAAAAAAAAATGATCTTAAAATGTAATAACAAAATATTATATTCTTTACAAAGACTAAAATTTCCTTTATTGTTAGCTGCGTACTCGGAAAAAGAGCTACTCTAACAGTCAAGTACGAATGTGTTTATAATACTAAGGAAAAAAATACACAATCAATAAAAATGAAGTAGCTGTTATTCTTAAGTTATTAAAGTCAAGAATTTACCAGCCGTTCTTTTAACATTTTCCTATAATATAAATTAATGAAAATCATAGTTTCTGTCTATTTTCAAAACTAAAAATAAGATCTAATTTTAATCATCTTTCATTTGATAAAACAAACACTATTAAATGTTATACTAAAAAAAAAATAATTCGAAAAAGTTTAATCTTTGTTTTTTCTTTATAGTCTAAAAATGTTTTCGTAGTTAATTAATCATTAAGTATTGTATTCGCATAATTTTCCATCATTTTTGATTTTGTTTTATTTCGCATTAAACATCGTTCATTGATTAATTGTTTAGCTAACTGTTGATGTTGATTATTCGATGAATGAACTGCTGAATGAATTAATAATAAATAGAAAAGATCACGTTGTGCATTTGATCCACCAATTTGATAAATTTTATTTCTTATTGGATAAAGAAGTTCAACAACTTGTGAATAATTTTTCTCTTGAAATTGATCCATAGCTTTAAATATATATTGTCCAACTTGACGATAAACTTGACTATTATCAGAATCAGATGTATCATAACATTCTTTCAAAGTTCGAAGAAAATCCATTCGATTTTCTTGATCAACATAATCATCTAATATAAAATAAATATGAAGATCATTAAATATCAATGTATGATCATGTAAATGATCATTTAAGAATTTTTTTAATTGAGTTGATGAATAAATTGTTGAAGATTTTTGTCCAGCAAGTTTAAGACGATAAATTAATGATGCAACATCTACAAAATCTAGCATACCCATATCAGTATTTCTATTTAATAAATGATTTGTTAAAATATTTTCAGCTATTTCTTTATTGCCTTGTTCTATTTCATATAAAGCCCAATGCCAATCAATATGTGGCTTAATAATATCACTGTGTTGCCAATTTTGATTGGTTTCTTTTAAAAATTGAATTCCTTGAGATGTTTCTCCAGCATATTCTAAAGCATGTGCTAATGCATGTGTTGCCCAACCATCATGTGGATTGAGTTCTAATCCAAATCGAGCTTCTTTTTCAGCTCTTTCAATCATATTTGTTTCACCTAATCCAAATGCATACATACCATATAAATATGATTTTAATGGTCGATCAGTTGATGTTTCCCATATAGGTAAAATTCGTGCAATTGAATCACGAAGCATATCACGATTACCAACATAAAAATATGTATCTGATACAAATTTAATTGACATCATATCAAATGGATATAGAACAAGAATTTGTTCCCATGTATCAGTAGCTTTAGCAAATTGACCCAGTGACCATTGAAGAAGCGCTTGACTATGAAGTTGAATATATTTATTTGATGATGTTATATTTCCAAGTGATTCAAGAGTTTTTGAATGATGAGATGATGATGGAGTTGCTGTACCTAATAAATCAATGCCAGTTGCTAGTATACGACTGGTTATACATGTTGGATCAGATGATAGAAGACGTGATATAGTTGATTCAACACCATCCAATTGTTTATCATTATACCTTGAGAAGAAAAAACAATTCTTTTGAAGTTTTATAAAAAAAACGGTTTATTTATTTATTTACCAGCCAGTGTATTGTGTAAGAGCAGCATCGAATAATTTTGCTGTTTCATTACTTGTTGTATCTATTGGAATACCGTCATCGTATAAACATTTTACATCACGCCATTGATCACGAAAAGGCATCTTTATAAGACTAAAGACTCTATATTCTATACAAAGATATTTATATAATAAAAGAGGTGTGTTTTATGAATGTAGAATAGAAAAAATGCTTTGTTTGAAAAACACGTGTATTTGATAAAAATGGAGAACGCAAAAACTTAAAACTATCATGCAGTTTATTTTTCTTCCTTTTATTTGCTCTATATAGGTCATATATATGATGTCTTTTCATGCTATCAACCAGTGCACATATAACTAGATGGCACACGAGTCTAACTTGTATGTAAAAGTGCCTTCCAAAGCTTTTTCGAATTATTACAAAAATAATAAATTATATTATTGAAAGTAATTTTATTTGTTAGAACGAGATTCATTCAACAGATTTTTTGCGAAGTGAATTTTTTAAATTATTCCTTTGACGAATTCCTCGATTCATCGTCTTATTTTATAGTTACTAAATTTATGATCGTTTTTTGTACCCATACTTTGATTCCGTAAACAGTGGATCAAATTCTTGAAAAAAATGGATTACTTCATTCGATTTTATTTCCTATTGTTTTTTTTATTATAAATTAAAAACTAGGTTTAGTTTCTTTCATCGAATAAGAAAAATTCAATGAAAACTCGATAATAATGAGGGTATGGGTGTGGATAAAGATAAAATAAATCGACACTCTACCTACACCCACATCTTATGTTCGTAATTAGTCAGAATTAATTCTTACACAAGTACTTTTAGAAAATAGTAAATTAGAAAATGATATTGAATAAACTATAAATCAATTTTGGAATTTAGATAATCAAGAAGTACGAAAAGGATTCGATCAGTTTTTAGATATTCATTCCAATGTGATCTATTTAATTTTGAGAAAAAATATAGAAATAATAAATCTTGTTTATATCTCATACAAAAATATACAAATAGTCATAATCTTTGACCAAAAAAGAATGAGCTTGATAAAGTACATAAACTTGAAATTTTAAGTTTTTGTATCAAGTTTATTCTTTTTAACGTTTTATTATTAGAATAGAAATATATCAGGTTTAAATATAAGATACAAAAGAAAAAAAAAATCTTAGATTAGACTATCACGCACCAATACATGTAGAGCATTAGACATCAATTCGCGTAGAGCATCAGACAACAATGCAAGTAGAGCATCAGACATCAATGCACGTAGATCATCGATAATTTCTTGGATGATGGCATGATTACGTGTTAATTTAGGATTAAAAATATAGGCCAAAAAATCTGCATCCAAAATAAAATTAAAAATAAAATCGATTCGATCATGACTTTTTTGTGTCAGATGATCTTCAATAATGCGGCGAATTAACTGTTGACAATCTCTGAGTTTATCTTGGAGTGAGTCTCGAATGCGCCTGGAATTCCACTTGTTTAGTGTAACAATCATTGCAAAAATTAAAATAAATTTCTTACGCAATTCCTTCATTAATTGTCTACCATCTGCCCTGAATGGAATAATCCGATTCCTGTAGAGCACATGAAATTTAAATCCTGATTTTATTATCTTTTGTAATAATCTGTCTGCATCTTGATTATTGTCCAGAAAAACCTTCTGCCAAACGATGCAGATTGTTCAAAACTCGATTCAAACGTGTAGGAATGAAACATTGTGCAATATATTTATTTGAGAATATTCTAATGAATAAAAAAATAGATTGTACATATTTTCTTGATTATGTTTAGCATTAAAATATTTTTACTTGCATAATTTTTTTTGAGAACGAATACTACGACTTTGTGCTATTGTACTTCTGGCATGATTTTGCAATAAATTTGCAGATTCTTGCTCCATGATGTTATTAGTTGTTTTGATACTGATGCAATTTATTATTAACCCTTTGATTACCGAGCATGTATATATATATATATATACATGTTGGATTTATCCATATAGCATCGCCATAATAGACTATATTATTTGGCTTTCATCGCAAATCCTACTCTCTTTCGTACGTATTTTCCCAGTAGTATTGCAAAACGTTTCTCACGCGGTAGTGAATATATAATGTATGTGATTTGTTTTTGTTTTGACGCGCATGCTTCTTACATTCTAGGACATGCAGGTGTATTGGTTGATTTGTTTTTCGAAATGATATGAAGCGAGCCAAAACTGACGTGAGTCAACAGAAAGCCTGTCATCCACATTTTACCTATTTATCAAAATTCACTCTATAGTCAAAATATTCTATGTATACTAGAGAATAGGAAATCCTAAACTAACCTTCGGCTTAACGAATTATTAAATATTAATAACATTTCCTATAAAACTTAACTAAAACATAACTGAAGCTGAAGAATTTAAATCTGAGATTAGTTTTTTATTAAATAACTATTGATTAATTAAAAGAAAAGTTTGCTGATATTCTCGAAACACTATATCTAAAAAAGGGAGCTGGGCAAATTCTTGGACAAAAATTATTTCTCTAAATTAAACATCATAAATTTATTGATAACATTAAACTGAATTTTTAATTAAATTCAAATCAACAAAGTAATTACGAATATAATTGAGATTTTATGTGAAAGAAACAAAAAAAGAAAGAAATTAAACAAATGTAAATATAAATACTTGTTGAAGAATTGTAAAGAAGACCAAGAGAAAAAAGGGGAGAAGACAATTATAAAGATTTTTAAAAATAAATAAATATATAAAACGCGAGACCTTTCGAATTTCTTTTCAAGCGATATTTGAAGAGAATTTTTGTAAATGTTATCATATTTTATCAATAGACATTACGAACTTATGGTGTAAAATAGAATATTCTCTTAATACTTTCACAATTTCTCTTCTATTATTTACTTTCTTTAAAATATTTCGTTGATATCAAAAATTGATCACTGAAATTTTCTATGAAATTAGATGTAATTTAATTCAAAGTTAATTTCATACATATTATAGAAAAAAAAGAAAATTAGTAAAAAATATTTGTTAATGAAATAGTTGAATAATAATTATTGTACGTTGTTTTGTGCATTTAACATTTTATAATAAATTCCACCTTTTTGTATTAGTTCTATATGAGTACCACTTTCGACTATACGACCCATTTCAAGTACATATATTAAATCACATGAACGTATTGTTGAAAGACGATGTGCAATAATAATTGATGTTCGACTAGAATCGTCTGTTTGAGCTTGATCAAGAGTTTCTTGTACTATCTTTGATTATTAAAAATATTAATTATATATATAAAAGAAAATAAACTTACTCGTTCATTGTATGGATCCATAGCACTTGTAGCTTCATCTAATAATAATATTTTAGGTCGACGAATAAGAACTCGAGCAATAGCAATACGTTGTTTTTCACCACCTGATAAAAAACTACCTTTTACTCCAACTTTTGTGTCATAACCCTAAAAATAAAAGATTATATTACTAAATAATCAATATAATTTAATATTAATCTAACTTGAGGTAATTGTTGAATAAATTCATGAATATTAGCTTTAGTTGCAGCAAGAACAATCTCATCCATTGGTATATTTTCTAATCCATATGAGATATTTTCAGCAATTGTTAAATCAAATAAAACAGGTTCTTGACTAACAACGCCCAAACAAGAACGAAGCCATTGAATATTTAATTTTCGAATATCAACACCATCAACAGCCTTGTTTATATTAATATTTTTGTTTATAAAAGAACTTGAATTATATATATAGAAAAGAGATACTTACTAATTGTCCATTTGTAACATCATAAAATCGTTCTAATAATTGAACAATTGTTGATTTTCCACATCCAGATGCACCTAAATCGATTATTATATTATATGATTAATAAACAAGAAAACATAATTTAGTTAAACATACCAACAAGAGCTATACGTTGACCTGATTTAATAGACAATTGCAGTTTATTAAGAACAAGAACTGTTGGACGACTTGGATAAATAAATTTAACTTGATTAAATTCTGTTTCTCCCCGAAAATCAGTCTAAACAATTCAAAAATAAAATATATTATTAAAAGACAATAGCTTTCTTTTTCTTTTACTAATTCTTGGCCTTTAGTAGATCCATTATCAATAGTTGGTATTCGATCAAATAGATCAAAAAAAGCGTGAGCAGCAGCAAATGATGAACCAATACGTTCTCCTCTGAAATGATAAATAACGAAAAAAAAAATAAAAAAACATAGATTCTATATCTTACAACATCCCAACAACTTTTAGTGCTTCTATTGCGAACATTCCAAAAGCAGAAATCCTATAAAAATACAAAAGATAATAAAACTTATTTTATAGATTATGAAAATTATTGTTTTAGTTACATAACAACATCGTTCATGTCTAGTTCATTGTTTTCAACAAGAACCAAAGCACGCCAATACAAAAGTCCCAAAGCGAATGAATCCATCGCCCAGTATAATGCAGATACTGTTGCAAAAACTGCGTCAGGTTTCCAAGACATTCTAAACAAAAGAAAATTTATTTAAGATTGAAGTAAATATCTGCAAAAAAAAGAGAGCTATATTCGGTATTATTATTTCATTATCGATATAGAAGAACATGCTTTTGATAGAATTAATCATGATTATTAAAAGCACTCGGAGTTTTGTTATCAAATATATAGGTACATGCATAATAGTTATAAGACTAACCCTAATACTTGATCAATCATATCCGAATATTGTCGTAAAACCTCATTTTCCATTGATAACTGTTTTACTGTGCGCATATTGGTAATAACTTCAACAGCAAGCTAAATAAGACAAAACATACAATGAATATTTAATAATCATTTGATCGAATAATGTATAATTCTATTACACATTCAAAGATTATGAATAATAAAATGGTTTTACCGTGCTAGCTTCAGAGTAAATGAGATCAGATTGTGTTTTTAACCATGAACTCAAACGTATCTGCATAATAGCAGCGATCAGTATGATAAAGAAAGGAATAGCTATGATTATTGTCAACTCTAAGCTGTAAAAAATGCCAAGTACGAAGCCAAAAAAACATAAGGATAAAGTTTCGCAAATAAAACCTAATCTTGCACCAGCCATGTCTTGAATAGCAGCTGCATTAGAAGAGAGTTGAGTACATATAGCTCCGGAACTATTTTCAGGTCGATCAAAATAAGCTACTTCTTGACGAAGTAAACATGCAAAAGCTTTTGAACGAAGGCGACTAACCAATTTCGCTCCTGCAATTCCAAAAGCGACATACTGTAAACAAACATAAAAAACTCATTGATATAGTTTAGTAATGTTAATATTACTTGGAAAAAAACGAAGAATCATAAAGACAGCGCCGAAAGGAAAAAATAAACCACTTGTAATCATCACACGATGACGCATCTCAGTGTCTTTACAATCATTAAATTCCTAAATAAAAGAAAAAGTCGACAAAAAAAAAACATTTCACTTATCTTTTGTTAGAATATTCATATGAATAAAATCACTCACATTAATGATTTTTGCGAATAGAAGCGAGAACACTGGTCCACGTAATCCACCAAGTATGCATACTACACAACCAATCAAGATAAATTTCCATTCAGGGCTATTCATCTTCATGAGTCTTAGAAAGACAGATCTTCCTCTTATTGCTATCGACGCTCTCTAAAAATTTACATATTAATAATGATCTTTAAAAATTATTAGATATTTATTTTTACCCGATTTATATCAATTGCTTCGCTCTCACTCAATAGACGAACACGTGCCACTATTCCAAAAAAACAAAATCAAGTTCATAAAATGCAATAATTACTAATATTAGAATGGTGACATACATAATTGTTCTTCATCTTCAGCTGCTGCTTTTTCCATTTGCATCAGACTCTCTTGTCTATGAAACGTATTTTCAGATTGTTGCATTTTAACCATTGTTTGATATCTCCCTCCATCTTTTGCCAATAATGTTTCATGTGTACCTTCTTCAATTACACTTCCTTCATCTAATACATAGATATAATCAGCATTTTTAATCGTAGTTAAACGATGAGCAATAACTATTGTTGTACGATCTATACACATAATGATAATATAATCAATAGTAATTTTTTAAATAATTCTTACTTTTGCATGCTCGATCAAGTGCTTCTTGAACAACTCTTTCACTAACATTATCAAGTGCACTAGTTGCTTCATCTAACAAAAGAATGCTGGGTTGTTTGACAAGTGCACGAGCCAATGCAATCCGTTGTTTTTCACCACCGCTCAATTGTATACCACGTTCACCAACAAGTGTCTCATATTTCTGCAAACAAAAATATTAATATAAATAAATAAATATAAATATACAAAAAAACAAACATTTGGTAATTTCATAATGAATTTATGTGCATTAGCTTGTTCTGCTGCATTTTCAATCTCTTCACGTGTTGCATTTAATTTACCAAAACGAATATTCTCATAAATACTTATTCCAAACAAAATCTATTTTAATATAAATATTCTAGAGAGACTAAAAGAGAAAATAAAAGAAACCTACAGGTTCTTGACTAACAACTCCAATATGTTGTCGAAATGGTTTGATTTTATAATCTGTAAGTGATTGACCACCAATCATAATTCTGCCTGAAGAAGGTTCGTAGTAACGAAGAAGAAGTGATACACATGTACTTTTTCCTATCACAATAAATTACAATATTAAAATGTTATGTTTATTTTAGAGAAAAAGATTTACCACAGCCACTTGAACCTACAAGAGCAGTTGTTTGATTAGCACGAGCAGTTAACTTAAGATTATTCAAAGCTGTTGCATTTTCTCTTGATGGATAAGAAAAACTAACATTGTCAAATTCAATATCACCATTGATATCAGAAATCGAGTTTTCATCAGATATATTCTCTTCCAATATTTCTTTTTCATTCAGATTTTCATCATGTACCTATATCATAAAATAAAATAGAAAATATTGTTATCAAGATTTAGCTGCTATAGTATTCAATGTATTCTACTTCATCAATAAGTCGAAAGACGGATACTGCTGCACCTTGAGCTTCCGAAATCGATTGGAAGAAAGGACCAATTGAATTAAGATAAGTTAAGGTGTGTGCAAACATATTGACAACCTAAACGAAAGTTCGTTTTTCAATTACTTTCTTGCATATTGATGTCAAAGCTTATTTACAATAATTATCTCACTGACGTTCAGTGTATGATGAGTGGTATAAGAGATAAGAATGGAACCAAAAGTGAAACCAATTGAATAAACTATAAAGGATATAAAAAAAAAACCAACCAAATAAAACACCATATGCAGCATCTTTGCGAACAGTACACCATTCATTTATTTGTAATTCTTTGTCATATCTACATATAATAAATAATACAATAATTCTATAATTCTATATTTATTTATTTACTGTTTTTGTTCCAATTTGCTTCCATTGAATGAAAGAACCGTTCTTAATGAACTAAATACTTCTTGAGCGATTTGTCCAGCTTTCGAATACGTACTTAATTGTTCTTGTGTTTCTTTAGCCACGAACTGTAATTATTAATAAAAATTTAACGAAATAAATAATAATTTATACCTTAGCAAACATCAATGAAATACCGACAACAATTGGAATTATACAAGACATAATTAAAGACAGTTTCCAATTAAGAATAAAACATATGATTATACTGAAAATCATACCTGTAATAAGTGCAATTACCATTACGAATTCAAAACCTATTCCATTTTTGATCTTTTCAATATTACTGTAAAGAAAATCGATCATATATAATTGTTTGTTATGAAATTATTATTTTTACTTACGTAAAAAGTTTCGAATTGTATTGAGTAGTTTGGTTTGTATCGAAGTAAGTCATGTTCTAAAAAATGAAAGAGAAATAACACATTATTTTATCTTGAATCATAAATCGAGATCAAAATGATCTACTTAATTTTGTTTTATGTTTGACTTGAAGCAAGAGAAATAAATAGAATAAACTGTATTTTAACTAGTTTAATCGTTGATAGTCACTTATTTTAGTTACTCGTCAATGAATAACCGTCTTTGAAGATATACAAACATTTACAATGCAGATCTACACTGAATTTAAACCATCTAATAGAAATTCGATACTATTCAATTTGGATCTATGATCACGAACTACAAAGTATTTCATGAATGTAAAAAAATATTTTTACTTACACGTTGAATAAGTGATTGAAAGAGTAAAACACTCATGCGAGATGTCTGTCGTTTCGTAGCAGTTGTCCAACAGATACGTTCAAGAAAACCACATACAAGCATAAGAAGACTAAAACCTACATTGATACAGAGTAACAACAAATCGTTTGTTTTTTTTTATAATTTTAATCATCATATTCAATAGACTTACCGAAGAACAAATAAACTAGATGCATAACATTTTCTCGAAATAAAGGTGTTAATGGAGATGATGTCGATGAAATCATTTTATTATCATAATGACATAATCTACAAAT